TCCTCAGCGGAAGCAAAATACGACCAATTGTACCAATCACCTTGGGAGTAATCTCCGTCATATCCATAGTAGGATTCATAACCTGACCAGTCATCTGTCCAGTATGTGTCATAGTCGTAACTCCAGCTTTCTTCGGCATGGGCCGTTTCTTGTTTTTCAGGGGCATGTGATGCACTGGATGATGCAGCCTGTGCTACATTAGCTTGTGGAGGTTGTGACAAAAATGGATTGGTTCCTCCTTTGTTCTTCGCATCACCTTTTCCTTTTCCTTTCCATGAAGGCATTCCTTTGAAAGAATCCTTTCCTTTCATCATTCCTTTCTTGCCCTTTTTACCTTTTCCTTTGCCCTTGCCTTTTCCCCAGAAAGCTGTGTCTTGCTGGTCATCTTCCCATGCTGCAAAACCTTTGCCTTTTGACCTCGAGCGGAAGCCGGGTCTTGATTTCTTTCCTCCTTTCTTGCCATAACCTTTTGGTCTACCTTTCTTGAAGGACCTGCCGTAGATGCGGCGCTTAGAGTATGAACCCTTGGCGCTGAGAACCCAGAACTCGTTCTCGGTGTACAGACCTGTGAAACCTTCTTCACCCGTCTCTTCATCGAAGACCCAAAATCCGTACTCACCTTCTTCGGTCTCGCCCTCGTCGATGACGTAGAAGTTAGACCGCTTGCGGTGCGTGATATTTGGGTCTGCAACACCTGTGCGGGAAACGGCAAAAAGTTCTAAGAACAGCTGTTTCACTTGGAGATAGGTGTATTGAGGCATTGCAATCTGACGGATGTTCATGGACGAGACAAAGCGCTCTCGCTGTTGCTCGTTGAGGTCTGCTTGCACTAGAAAAATCAGTGACATCAAATTGTCTGACAATGGAAACTGCTGTGCATGTCTGGTCCTTCTATTGGTTATGGTCTGTTCTCTCAGTTCTTGTTGATAAGCTAGCTTATCTTCATCTGTTACTATTCCATTATAGTGCAGTCTTTGCTCATCTGTGAGTGCTGCCGTAAATGCCTGAGTGCCTGCCTCGGGGAGATCGGATATGTCCAGCAGATCGGACCAAGAAGCCAACAAACGCTTCTGCGCGATCTCAAATCGCCCTATCCAGTGCACGAATTCACTCTGGCCTCGATATGTGCGAAACATCTGGAGGAATCGCCAAAGGAACACATGATTTACTCCCTTCACGAAGTATGGTCTCAATGTGTCCTTGAAATGAGCGAGGCCACGATCCGGATCTCGGAGTAGGGCATTATCGAGCATCGACTTATAAAAAGAAGCGGAACCAATGAGGGCATTCTTTAATGATGGTCCGTGTTTATCTGCATCCAATGTTGTGATCCCTAACCAGTCATCAATTAAATCTTCATATTCAAACCAGCTTGATTGGCCATCAAATTGGGGTGGAACCTTTGGTGTCATTTTGATGCCCATCCGGTTTTCGGAATGACTGGTGGCGGCATATGCTTCAGGCTCTTCATAAGAGACAATCTGGAGTTGTTCTTCATCTGAATCCATGTTGTGGATTAAGACCATGGCAGCTACTCTAACTTGACCTACAGGTTGCCTCCGCAAGTCCGATATACGGAATGTATGCAGAGAACGGCAGTTCGGCACACAGATCTAGACTTGGCGAAGGCACAGGCTCCGCTACCACTTTGAGGTAGCTATCCCTCTATTAGGGGAGCCCTGGATAATGTACAAACACCTGTGTCAAGCAGCGGCGACTACACTTCTTTTCTACGCAAGATTCTGCTAGTCTTGAGCCATGCGGAGTGCGCATGAAAGATATGAATTAAGAGTACATGTCAACATGCATGAATGCATTGTGAAGACACGTAAAACAAAATAAATCACAGGGGGGTGGGGTGATGTTAACGTTCCTTGGAAGCGTTACGTGACATACGCTGGGGTTGGGGTGGGGGGGTGGGGTGATGTTAACGTTCCTTGGAAGCGTTACGTGACATACGCTGGGGTTGGGGTGGGGGGGTGGGGGTGGGTTACGTTGATGTTGAAACGTTCCTTGGAAGCACGTGACATACGCTGGGTTGGGTGGGGGGGGTGGGGTGGTACTTCCTTGGAAACGTTACGTTACCTGGTTGGGGTGGGGGGGGTGTGATGTTAACGTTCCTTGGAAGCGTTACGTGAATACGCTGGGGTGGGGGGGGGGGGGGGGGGTGCTGTACGTTCCTTGGAAGCGTTACGTGACATACGCTGGGGTTGGGGTGGGGGGGTTGGGGTGATGTTACCTTGGAAGCGTTACGTGACATACGCTGGGGGTTGGGGTGGGGGGGTGAAACATGCTTTGCTTGAATTCTCTCGTACAGTTCGCACACGTGCAGGGGACGTTGTGAAAGCTGGCACACAGGTGCTGGATAGGCAATGGCGATCTTTGAAAGATTACCTGCCTAAAACTTTAGCAACAAAGTCAAAGGCAGGCCATGTCAATCAAAGCCTTTGGCAATGGACCTACAGCTGGCAGTACAGATACAACAATGGCAAAGACCTTTGGACAGCTGTGCCACATGTCCTGAAGCACATCAGAAATGCCTGAGTGCAAAACAGCCCGCGTCTTTACGGGCGGCGTTACCATATATATATATATGTATATATATATATATCATATTTCCAATAGTGACTGAAACGTTTCTATTGCCAATATGTTATTCATTGGGGGAACCGGGTTCATTACTTTCCTCACCACCACTGGATGACAGGCTCCCAGGAAAAGATCTCCGCAATTGTGTCGCCTTGGAGGGTGCCAGAGCCCGGCATGACTGCAGCACGCCGATCGGCCATCAACAAGCCCGTGTCGGGACGGAAATTTGAAACATTTAAACTTAAAGCAACTACAGTACTACAGGAAGAAGATGGCCAATAGAAACGTTTCTGGGATGTAGAAGCGTTAAACTGTTGAAGTTGTGAAGTGCATCAGCAAATTAGGAAATGGTGGTCGAGATGCCAATGAAATGACATGAAAGAATCCATGCACAACTGACCGACTGAACCAATGAATCGGTGAAATAATAAATGAGTGAACACAGTAAATCGATGAGACAAAGAAGTATTGAAACATTGAATTGATGAGTCAATGGATCAATGAATGGTTGACTTAGTGAGCCGGTGGATCAGTGAATTTATACAATCAATGAACCAGTGCATTCAGTGAAGCAATGACTCACTGCACCAATGAATGACTGAACTAGTCAGTCAATGAATCAATGAATCAGCGAATCAATGAATCAATCAATGAGAGAAGTAGTGATTCTATGAACCAATGAATCAGTGAATCAATGAGTGAACGAATGAATGTGAAGCATTGAATCAGTGAGTTAATGAGTCAATGAAGGGGTGAATTTGTGAGTCAATGAATCAACGAATCTGTGAATCAATGAAGCACTGAACCAATGAATCAGTGACTCATTCAAACAATGAATGGGTGAATTCGTAAGTCGATGAACCAATGAATCATTGAAGCAATGATTCAATGTGTCAACGAATCAATGAATGAGTTAAATAGTCAGTCGATGAACAATTTTGTCAGTGACTCAAGCGAGTGAACTGTTGAAACACTGAATCAATGAGTTAATGAATCAATGATTGAGTGAATTCATGAGTCACTGAACCAATTGATTAGTGAACCAGTGAAGAAATGAGTGAATGAAGGAGTGCTTCAATGAACCAATGAACAATGAACCAGTGAATCAATGAATGATTGGACTAGCAGCGAGTCGATGAATCAATGAATCAATGACAACGGAGCAACGAACCAATCAATTTATCACTATGATTTGGTGAATCAGTGAACCAATGAACGAATGAATCGTTGATTCGGCGCAGCAATAAACCAATGACTTAGTGAATGAATCATAAAGCAGTGAATCAATAAAGCACACGGTTCAATGAATCGGTGAAGCAATGAATCAATGATTTAAAGGATTAATAAATCAATGAAACAATGACCCAATGCATGAATGAATGGATGGAATGATGCATGAGTGGATTTTTTTGAGTTACTTCGTCATTTAACGACGTCTTCGCTGAGGTACCTCTTCTTCCAGCTACTTCTTTGTTGAACAACTTTTTATCTTGCTTCCCAGTTAGTTCTTCTGGAATTTCTGCAGCCAAACCTTCTCTTCGCGCAGCTGTTACGATGCGTTTAGCAAACCCTTGTTGCAATGTAACATTTTAGTGGAAAAAATGGTTTGCGCACAGCTGTTACAATGCGTTTAGCGACCTCCACGTGCAATCCCGCATTGCAGGGTAGCATCACTAACGCTTTCAAGAGCGCGGACTCGACCACACAAATCCGGCGCTGCTCCGACCCTTTTTTTTTCTGTTTTTCTTTGGTGAAATCGAGCTCTCGCTACAGTCTGGTGCACATTTTTCCGACCTCATTTTCCAAGAGCGCTCCAAGTTAACATGATGATGGGGTTGACATGATGGTGTGAATACTAACAAGGCCATCGTCTGTAACTCGGAAACTAATTTCCTTTGATAACCTTGTGCGCATTGTTTGTTTCGAGGCTTCCGCCCCGGCACGGCGGGGCATTATTGGTATGCCCAGTCTCTTATGATTTATGATAAAAATTTTAGGGTTCCGTGATTGGTTTTCAAATGAGACGCATTTTTCCGCAGAACGCGCGATGGACCTCACCATTTTTCCGTATTTGCTAGTGCAGAATGGTCCCCGCATAATCATTTTGGCATCGTGCGTGAGGAATTTCTTGCCCCGCCTGGATTCGTGATGAAAAACGGCGCAGCTGTGGTCATTGGTGACGTCGGTGTGGTCCATGTTGTTCTACGGGCTGGATTGTCCAAGTCCGATGGATTTTGCAACAATTATTAACCCCGCGTTTTGCAAGACATGGGGTTTCCACTTTGAAAATATGTTGCCGGAAATGCAGACAATGTCGGAAAACATATCCCATGTTTCCCTAAATCAACATGCTGGAAAGTCTCAGTTCCCGCATGCATATGAATGTTTTTTAATCGTTTTTTGTTGATTTTTTCCTGTAGTTTTTTTGGTTTAAGTTGTTTTTGTGTGGGTGTGGGTTGTGGGTCCAATCATGCCGTCCATGTTGTTTTATGCAGATGAGGTGGGTCGATATTTTTTTGTGGCAATATTGTTTGTGGCATAATTTGTGCAAGAGGAGAAACGAATGTGTTCCGTCTTGAAAGTGCGTGTTTGACAGGTTGGCATATGTTCCTGTGTCAATTTTTTTGGGCACATTTTTTCAGGTGAAATATTGCGAAGCGCCTTTCACCAAAGTGAAACTGGGATTCAACAAAAATGTCCAGGAACTCAGGATCTGCTTGTGGTCGTCGGCCAGCGGTCACCGTTTTTTGCATCGCATGCAAGAGTCCAAGGCTGGTGCCCTCAATATGATCCACTCGCCGTTGGGCGGCCCAGGAAGTTCCCGATCTTTGGGAAGGCATTAAACGTACCATGTACGTCACGGCAACCAGTCATTAGAGTCATTATCGTATTTAAGAATTTAGCGAATCTGTACCAATCATGATTTTGATGTAAATTACTTCGTAGCCTCTGGATGGCAAAAGTTGCTGAAGGCTAGTGCGTCGCATTTTGTCCTATAATCATTATCCATACGGAATCCTTTTGAAATCACCCGGAACTGAAACCTTGCAACGATGCCACTGATGCCACCTGTACCCAGGCTTGATGCGGCTTTGGAACTGGTTTGGTGACCCAGTCCCTCCAAAGGACATCCCAAGTTCCGGAAAAATAAACAACCTTTTTCATCTAGTTTCATGCTCAGTTGAATTTGTTAATCAGGGGTAACCGTTATAATTATAATTAGTTGGATTAGTTGACAAGTGAATTGCCATCTGAGAAAAACAAAGGGCGTTTTGAAACGGTGCAGGTGTCCGACATCGCAGGCCTTCAGGCAGCCGTGCGGGTTATTGCAAAGTGAAAACTGGTGAAAAACCCTATGAAAATGCCAATGAAAAATAAGATCAACAAATTTGATGCGTTTTCAGACATTGAGCCTGGGCCCCATGGGCCCCATGGGGCCTAGGAAGTCATTGAACATTGCAATGTTGATGTCAATTGGACGGATCTAAACTCAACTTCTGCCTCGGCAGATCACTGTGGATGGTCAGACCTGTGCGATCGGTGGAAAGGCGCCATCAGCAGCCGGATTTTGGGGAAAAACTGGGCATAGCCACAATGGAATCGGCTGATTCCCTGTATCCATGAGGTGAAAGCCACGTTTGCGGATGAGGCGTCGTGAGCTTGCCCTTTTTTTGGATGGATGGGTTGAGGCCTATGTGCTATCCGTTGGGTCACAATTCCAGCGCAGGCCCTCGCGATGAAGTTTGCAGAACATTTGAGGGGAACTCCAATGGAATCGACAGAAGAGGCCTGTGGTTTCGGTATCAAAGCCGCATTCTACTTGACTCAACTGTTTTCGAACCGTGGCTTTGAGGTCTTTCGCAAGTATTGCTCCAATTTTACAAGAAATGGTTTGAACTCTGACAATTGATTTTTCACTGCTTGTTGCAATCGTGTTTTTCTTTTGACCTACACAAAGGCAGACTCTTTGCAGGTCATGTTGCAGGTGACAGTGGAACAACACTGCAAATTCGAAAGGATTGTAAATCATTTGGAATCATTTGCATCTTTTTTTGCAATCATCAATTCACTGAGTGTTTGGGACGGCAAAGGCACAGCTTGAAGCAGCACCCAGCACTCCGAAACGACGTCCTGTTGGGAACCTCAATCCCAGCTGTCTGTTGAGATCGGCCTTTAGTTGGGGGTTGCTTGCTTCGTGGCTGGTCCCCCGATGATCTTCAAGGGCCATTTTCCTGATAAAGAAACATGGGTAATGGGTCAAAATTCTTCACCCACCAAAATGGTTGAATACTTTGAATACTGAAAATGATACAAATCAACCACAAATCAACCACAAATCAACCCATACAGGTGTGTGGCTCATCGAAAAAAACATGACCTGTGGCTCATCGAATCGCTTCTCGCCAGTCAAAGATGGGGATGGACATCACACCTCCTCGCTGCGTTCGACCCAGACGGACCGTGCTGGAGGACGCACGTCTTGTGATGGAGTTGATCTGGGATGACCATTCTGAGTCATAGCGATTCATACCAAAGTACGTTGTGAATCCTGCACTTGTGCCATCAAGTCCGTGCAAAAACCGTGTCATGGTTCGGCTCACTTGCAAAAACACGATTAGCCAGGCTGGATGTGTGCAGGTCATTATTTTCAATGCTGTGCATCACATGTTCTGGAGAGCAAATTCAGCCAGTTGAGAAAGTGTGGCGTGGCATGTTTTGAAGATTGGACCCATTTTACTGTGCATTGACCTGAAATTTTATACAACTTTAATCCCATAGTTTATCATCATGCTGCCCATGGGCAAGGCCATACGTTGGGGGTAAAAAATTCCTTTCATTTTTCGACAAACCCATATCGGAGTTGTTTATAGAATATGCATTATATATCGCTTTCAGGTGTCATTATATGCTATTATACAAACATATACAAACTACAGTAAATCCAACTTTTTTTCCCCATACACTGGTCTTATCCCCATGATACTTTGGATGTCAGGAGGACGAGTGCAAGATTGCAAAGGCGGCAGGGGCCGATGCCTTTCACCCTGGAAGTTCAGGTTTATGTTTGTTGAGTCTCGATTCAATACATCAATCAAAACTGGAGAAACTTTGGAGTAAATTCCAAGCAATCTCTTAATTCATTGTCAACCTCTTCGCAGTTGCCCTTCTTTTGCAACGTTGATGCAAGAAACCATGCCATTTGACCACACAGGCCGATATGTGAGTGCTGAGTGCCTGTTTTTTTTCGATGGGGCTATTACTGGTTTCACTCAGTTGCTGTGCCGCAGCTGGGAGAGTGTGACTTAGCCGACTTAGCCAATGTGAATTGGTGTCTGGGGAAGCACTGCAACAGGCAATGCGAACAGACCCGTGGTGTGAGCAGCGAGTGTGGAGAAAATTACTTGGCCATGGAGCAGTTGACTTGGTGGAGTGATGGAAGATGCTGAGACTCCAGATTCATTTTTCCTTACCATGCTCTGGAGGTTACAGACGGACCCAACTTTCAGCCTTCTTGGTCAAAGCTTGCGTTTAAAGTTTGAATTGCAGGTTGAAGAATCTCTGCCGCAAACTGTCAGTGATTCCAGCGCTAGTACGGAGATCGCTTCTTTCTAAGTTGGCTGATCCAGACTTTGTGTGTTGGAGGTGCAGATGCTCAACTCATACGTTTGGCAGCCGGGTAGCCGGGTAGCCGCAGCTTCTCTGTAGCTTTGGCGCCTCAAGGTGTGGCAAAAAAGCAGTGAGACTTGCCACAGCAAGATGCGCAGATCAACGAACAACAATCTCCGAGCAGCAACAGCTTGGCAACCAGAAAGACCTGCTAATATGCTAATATAATGTGGTAAACCAAGTCATAAGAGATTTCGTACTTATCATAAATCATTCCCAAGTTGATCAGAAATGGCTAGTTTGTTTTGTATATATAAAACCCCATTCCCAACCGGAGGTTCCCATTGTGGAATAGCTACAATAGGTCGCTGTTATTGCCGACGTTTTCGTTGTTCAGATGAGCTTAAAGTCTGCAGCTGCACGGCCGTACGACAGGCTTGGCACTCACCTTGAGGGGTGTCACCACCATTTTTTGCAAGAGGTAAATGAAGAATCATGACAACTGAAGATAAATGTCGATCAATGATGATAGATGACGATGGATGATCTATCTCTATTACAATTATATTATACTGTAGTTAATATTTTATATGATACATGATAATTTATACATATCAATGATGAAAAATGGTATACTGTCCACTGGTCACCAAGCCTTGGAGCCTTGAGGTCACGATCTGGCGAAGTGGCAGCACCCGAGTGGACCAATCATCCAGAGGCGCGATTCAGCTCCACAAATGGCTGTTTCACCAGCAAAAGTGGTTGCTTGATATTGGCAAATATCTAAAAACAACATGAAACATTTCCCGAAAATGAACATTTGATTGGGTACTGGAACCCAAGTTTCGAGGAACAAAAAGGAGACATATTTCGGACGATTTTGACAGCGATCTTGCCAAACGTGAAGAGCTACTGTGATCCATGTGAGCTGTGCCAGGGGCCATACATAGCTCCGGTACTGTTTGGTTTGCCCAGATGCTCCCAGATGTCTCGGGAATTTTGCCACGTCAAAGCGGGGAAATTCGGATGTGACCTGTGGCCAGCTACCTGCTTGGATGCTCAAAATCAGAATTTTAGTTTTTTTTGGCGCAGTATCATATCCCAGGATATTTTTGGTGGTTTCATATCTGTTTGACTGAGGCCGAGCCGGGCACGCTCGGCCACAGGCGCGGTTATATCATTGGGCGAAATCGCAGCAAAATGATGGGCGATTTCAGGGTGATTTCAATGGGATTTTAGGGGTGATTTAATGGGATTTCATGGAAGATTCGAAGATTCATGGGATTTGGACATGGGAACATTCAGCAAATGATTTGGTGAGTTGGTGATCCAATGAGTTGGTGATCAATGAGTGATGGACATTTTGGGTTGCCATGAGTTGGCTCGTACAAGACCTAATTTTCCTTAGTGAATTGGCCATAAATTGGACTCTCTTCCTTAAAAAAATCTGGACACATCCATCTCGTACTAGGTTGGTTATACATCCAACTATATCATAGCCCATTACATCCCATAAATTTGTTGCCTTTATACTTTATACATATCCCCTTCCTGGAGAGATTGATTTGTGGAACATCCCGCAAGCCAAGCGTGAGGTGACACGTCAACGGAGGACACCGATGCAGTGCGCATGTGAATCATGGCGTGTTGGCTGGCTACTGACCGGCTACCCAAACTATTCTTGAGTGCAATTCCCAATTTTTGATCAGCAGTTAACCAACCAACCTTGTAGAAGTATACCATATTTTTTCGGACCAAGCTAGTGATGGGCACAAGAAAGGTAGATGTGGTTGCAGTTATGCAGGTTTGTCTGAGAACTGCTAATTTTGTTTTTTTCCAACTTGATCATCAATTTCAGTATATATTGAGGTTTGATTTGGAGATGGATCAACACCTAGCTTAGTTTGGCATGGATCAAAAGCTATAATCCAACATTTTGGGGGGGATGAAGAATCCACTTCCCAGCAATTTTTTTTCGGGTTTTGATCGTCATTGCCGCTATTTTCGCCTGGCTCGAGGAGCAAATACCGCTGGAAAGCCTGTCCTTGTCCGAGAGCTCGGTTCCATTCGTGGTAAGATATGATACCCTCTGGTTATGACTAACAGTTTGCCATGGAAAGATCCACCATTTTTAAGAACGGTAAACCATCTATTTCTATGGGCCATCAAAAAACCATGGCTATGTTAGTCATAACCAGAGGGTATGATTGGAATAGATTGGAATCATATTCTACCTGAACCATGCGATCTTCTAGGAGGGCAACTTGTTCAGCTGCTTTTCCTTCTGTCAATTGGTAGCAAAAATCACCTGCGAATGGACCTATCCCTTGCTCAGAGGTGTCACGATGACATTCCAGCTGACCGAAAACAAACATAATTCGCTTCTCACGTTGCGCGTTTAGCTGTACTTTGTTCCAACCCCGAGACAACAACGGGTACGATCTGAGGCTGAAATATAACCACCTTACATAGCTACACCTGGGTACCCGTTCATGAGCAGTATTGGGTGTGCTTGATTGGTGCAACAAGAGCCATGTCATGTCATCGAGCATGAACTTGAGGTGATGGAGTTCACTTAAAACATGGTAGAATGAGTATTCAGGAGATAAGCACCCTCCAGTATTCGAAGAAAATGGAAAATCAGTTATATAAGGAGGTTTCGTGAGACTTCCGCAGGAGGATAGGATGGCTATGGCTCGCAACGGGCTTCTTTTTGCCCCCACAAAAAGAATGGTGATTGAACGTAATTATTTATCATTAACCATCCATATCTTAGGTGAGTATATTCTTATGTGCATATATATATAATACAATATATCATCTGTATATACATATATATACATATCACATATATATATATATGCACATGATGACTTATGTAGTATTGACATGTATGAACCACCTATATTTTAAGTACATAATATGAAGCATCTCTGAGTGGCTGAGGTCCGCCCCCCGCGGTGCTCGGGACACTCGGGACAATCGGGACACTGGCTCCAGGACAGGGCCGGTCCAAAGTTGGCTGGGATTGGTGTGTCAATCCATTTTCATAGGGATTTAGGCATATGGATGTATATGTACATATAAGTTATATATATATATATACATGCATACACATATATATATATACATACATGTATATATATACATGTATGTAATGTTTTCGTATATACCATTTTCATCCATTCTTTTTTTTACGTATTTCCCGAGATTTTAGATGGATGACCACAAGCCATCTCGCTTTTTGACACACATTGGTCTCACCATTGGCTGCTTAGGACCCTGGGCTCTGGGCGTCTGTCGCCAACACATCGGGAGCGAACAGGTTTGCTGGTGACCGTTCTGTGCCACTGAATCATAGTTCATATACATCTGGGTAAATTATAACGACCTCACTGCGACCTCACTATAATCATAGTTAGTAAGGGGAATCATCCCAAAATGGCCTTAATTCAGGTTAGTGAAATATTGTAATTTACCCAGATACATTATGTAGAATGTACATATACATGCACATATATGAAAACAATTGATACAACATGATAACGTGATATAATATATAATAATATGATAAAGTATGATAGGATAGGACAGGATATGATGCCTATTATCATGTAATATGTACGACATGATGCGATATAATGGTATAATGTGATATTATATAATGTAACATGATATAGTGTAATATGACGCAACACAATAGAATATTATTTGCTCTTATCAAATGATATCACATTGTGTTATCTTGTGCAAGTTATGGCATGCTATGTTATGATATATTACACTATATGATTTTATTCTATATTACAGTAATCTTATGTAATACTATTTTAGATGATGTCATATCATATCATATTATATCATGTTTTAATATCATATAATATTACATTAGATGATATTGTGTTATGTTATGTTATGTTATGCTATATTTTATTACATTTAATTATATTGTACTATATTATGCTTCACTACAATGCATTATATAATATAAGTATATATAAGTATAGTGAATTAATGTGTTGAACTATTATATGAAAGTAGTAAAGTAAATCATTATATCATATTCTATGTTATTTTTTTATTTTTGTGTGTGTTTCGTTTAGTGTAGTGCAATATACAAAATTGATGTATCTATCTCTCTCTCTATATATATGTATATATATATCTACGTCTACATGTATCTTTGCCAGTCCTGATAGTAGCCTGACATGAGGTTTTTATGTGAAGCAGTTTCACCTCGCACTTTGTACTCGCATCATTTGCCGAAAAACTATGAGGTATCCCATGGGACAATCTTGCCATGTCCTGCCCTGCAAAGGTAGCTTTGCGCTTTCGGAGCCGTTGAGTGGCATGGACCCAAGACCGACAGGGTGCATGATGGCATGGCTCTGCAGGATCACTATAATGACTATAGAGGGGGTGCAAACTATTGAGCCATTTGCTGAGTCTTTCCGATCACTGGGGATGCCCAAAATCAGGCCTGCTTTGATCCTTCTTATATTGAAACCTCGGAGAGCACTCCCGAGTTTGGCAATTTTGTATTCCCATTATGGTTTATGATATATCCACTATATTCCTACCATATTTCAACTATTTTCCCGCCACACGGTCATATTCTCCTACCAAGACACATACGAAACAATCAAGTATGTTCTTCCAGTGATTTGTTCAACTTATACTATCTTATACTTGTAGGGTTCCCATCACTTTTTTTCTGACCCCATTTGGAACCTTTTTTTTTGGGTTGCAACGGTGGAAGGCTCCGACGAGATCCATGCTGCGTTGCAGAGGCGTTTTTTTTTTTTCGGGGGGTGGGAAATTCGGGGATGGTTGCCGACCATGAAAGACAGACTTATAGAATGTACATATGTCATCATATGTCCAGATATGAAGATATTCATTGGGGTGTCTTGATGTCAGAGCTGTCTCAGAGCTGTCTTTGGTTCATGACATACAGTATCAGTCCGTCTCGGTGAGGCTTTCGGATGACTTCCCAGTTGGAAGCCCCAGAAAGCTGTGACGACACGTTGTGTCCTCCGCTTGGGGATGTTCATACGAAAATCATCTACAGTAGATCCCCAAAATGGATGATTTCATGGGTGCTCCATCTTGGGTTGATGGCAATCCGACTCTTCATCTGCAGCTATCAGAGCCAGGTTGTGCAGCGTATGCAGCGCATCAACACAGGTTTTTACCGCTTGGAAGGCCGCTGGGCCCAAGCTGCGGTTGGAAAGTGATGGTACTGGGCCCAAACCAAACTTTTTTCGCAAGGGCTCGCAGGTTTTCATGCATGGTACAGAAGAAAGAAGCAAGACTTGGTTCACCAAAATTAGCAGCATTGATTTATTCGTGGGCACAGTTTCCAGGTCAAACCTTTGAGTTGTCATTGGCGCGGAACAGCGACAAACTTCTGGTGAAGCTGGATGGTTTGAGCCCCAGCGGCCCCAGCTGCTGACAGAAATCACCTGAGTAGTGGTATGAAACAGTAGCTGCAGTAGCTGAGGTGCATTCGATGATTTTGGGTACCATGACTCACCATGACAGCCCATGGTCTATGTCTGGATTAACCAATCCCAGACCACATAGAGGGGACCCTTGGCACCGGACCCATTGGGTCACTTCTCAGGTTGGAATCGTGGAGTTCGGGGAGAGATGTTGAAGTTCCTTCAGACCCTGAAGGTCTCTGAGTCGAGGGGCTGGAGTGGGTTGGAGTGGGTTCTCACATCTCTGTACCCTCTGGTAATTGAACAATTATCAAACGGGCCATCTATACCATAGCTATATTAAATTACCAGAGTCATCAGAGGGCTATGGCTTCAGGCCATTCTCTTGAGGGTCGAGGTTGTCTAGCGACACTCTCTGGGTGTTTTTGGCCCTTGGTCTTTCTGCTCGAGCATTTACTACCATCTCTGAGTCTCGCCTCTGCAAATGTACGTTCTTGGCCATGGGAAACACTTGCGCCGCTCCTATCATCACAAATGAGATGAACATGCAGGTTGGGCTTCCTCCTCAAAAAAAAGCCAACAGCGCTTGCGTGGCCATGATCTACTATTCCACCTATGGTCATGTGAAGCAACTGGCCGAGGAAATCAAACGTGGAACCTAGGCATGGATCGGCGTTTGGTGGTCTCACCTGGAGATGGATAATGATAGAGACCACTGAATGACTGAGTATCACAAGAGTGGTAAAGAGGTACTAAGGTGCTGTGATGATGTCTGAAATTAGTACCACAGTTGATCATAGGTGGAGTTTGATGGAGTTATTCGTAGTATCACACTTTCTGTATCAAAGCTATACCACTGCGCCAGTTTTGGCCCTCAGGATCATTTTGGATCGCCGATTCTGAGGTGTGGAAGAAACGGGAATCAGCGTGGATTTGTTCCAAGTGCCAGAGACCCTCTCTCTGGATGCACTGAAGGCCTTGTCAGCAGCCCAGAAACCAGCAGACGTCATGGTGTTAGACAGGAGCTTCCTGACTCAGCTTTCATTTGGGCCGGCATCATGCCAAAACGGGTTGGCATTCCAAACATGATGGAATGCCAACCCGTTTTGGCATGATGCCAGCCCAAATGAAAGCCTTCTTTGATGGCACAGGTGGGCTGGTTGGCCAAGAAACCACCCACTTCACGGCCCTGACACAGTTGGTGCACCATGGCATGGTCTACGTTCCCCTCGGATAGCAGGCAGGAGGTGACGGTCAATTTGACCTGTCCGAGATCCATGGAATCTCGCCATGGGGTGCCAGCACTTTGGCAGGTGCTGATGGGAGCAGACAGCCCAGTCAACTGGAGCTGAAGTGTGCCTCGAAGCACGGCCAAGTCCTTGACAATGCTGTGAAGAGGACTGTGGCCCCAGCTCCAAACCGCAAGTTCAAAGTGGCGGTGATCTATTGCAGCATGTGCCTTGACACCAGGTGCTGAAAGAGGATCGCATGTTTGACATTCGCGACATAATTGGGCCTCTTAGACTTTGTTTGGAATAAATAAACATGAAATGTCACAGGGTACCTAAAACCGTTTCTTCCCCCACTAGATTAGCGCCTCAAGGCCACGTGAAGAAATTGGCGGAGGTCGCTGCCTCAATTCAGGAGGATGGAAAGCCATGGGCGCACCCAAAACGAGCGACCCCATAATGGATCACGCCAAAACCAAGACCTTGGGAGACTATGACGGAGTCTAGGTTTAAGTTGCTTCAGGATGCTTCATGTGATGGGGAGAATGAGTTCAGTAGTTGATTTCAATGGTATAGAGGCGATGGAAATAGTGATTGGTAGAGTGCCGTGTGGATGCATAGTCTTTGGATCAGATGGCATGTCCTTGCGTAATGATTTTGCGGAATTAATTAGCTGGCCATGCCTGGTCACCCAGTAGTGCTGGAAGCCCTCTTAGAGTCAGCCACCCGCCTGCCAAAGCGAGACAATTCTACCAACCTTTTGCACATTTCTTGAAGTCTTGGGAAGACTTGAAGCCGTGTCTTCCAATGAACCCACCTCTCATGATTTTGCCACTTTGTGTACAGAACCATGGTGCTTGAACTTTATGCAGAATCTTTCCAACACCCATCCTGTCCCATAGGTTTGTTGCCAAGGATTTGTCTTCGGAATTCGTACTCGCTTTTGCTCTGCGGCTGCCCAGATGAAAGCCTTCTTCGATGGCACTGGACAACTCTGGCAGAGTGGCGCGCTGGCGGGAAAGCTTTGTGCTGCTTTCACCAGCACAGGAACAGCCAACGGAGGGCAGAAGAGTACGCACATGACCACTTTGACCAACATGGTGCACCACGGCATGATGTATGTTCCTTTGGGCTATCAAGCAGGAGGAGAGGGCCGCTCGATTGACTAGGTGTTGATTTTGAGTTTTTTTTGAACCACAAAAGCACAGGCTTCGAACTGAGATATAGACCAAAGTTTCCATAAGTTTTCATTGAACGAATTCCCTTCAGATCTGCCAGTGCCGTGTGCTCAGGTCAGTTTGACATGACTGAGCTGCACGGAGGGTCTCCATGGGGTGCCAGCACCTTTGCTGGTGCAGATGGCAGTCGGCAGCCTTCCAAGATGGAGATGAACATTGCTAAGAAGCAGGGCAAGGCGACTGGGCAGTTCAACTTGTGGTGCGGATATTTTCTGATGTTTTCTGATGTTTTTTGTTCACTTTTGGGTGGAGAGGTCTGAATCACGAGATTTTTTTAGGGGATTCCTTTCATCAATCTGGGCTGTTTGCAGGTCTTTGCAGCGAAGGTCAAGCAGATGTGCAAGTGAATGCAGCCAGTGGGGAAAGAACCAGGGCTTTTTGACTACGTTTGAATGCAGGAGAAGGGATTTCCTGTCGACTCATGTTGGACATTGGACCTTTGGGTTGCATTTTTTTAGTGCTGGATCTGTAGTCTACTAGAGTTTACTGGAGGTTTTGGAGATGTGTTGATCCCTATCACCTGTTGCAGTGATTGTTCAGCGCTTTTGGCAGTTCGCACCCTTCGATAAAGTTTGACTTCGAGGGAGTGAAAGATGCCACTTCTGTGGGTTTTCCTGGACACATGATGGTCCAATGGTCACCCACTTTTATCGACGAAAGCTGAAGAACTTGGCTCACGGGTTCAGGGTTTTATACCCAGACCCCCAAGATCTGCTTCAGTCGACATGCACCCTGGAGACATGATGGGTGCCTCTCGACTCAGAGACTGCTGCTATGCAAAGTGCTTAACTCGAGCCTTTGGGAGATAAATTGAGTCATGAGTTGTGGATGTAGACCTGTGTTTCAAACAGATTCCATAGATCATGTTCAAATTTATGGAAAGGCTCCATCCCCAAGGAAGGTTAGACAAAGTTAGACTGCTAGCTCTTTAATCACTTATAATGTATATATATAATATAATATATATATAATATATATAAAATATATATAATATAATATATACATAATATGTAAAGTATAAACAGTTATGTAAAGAGTTAATTACTGTTACAAAGAGTTGCACATCTTGGGGCAACGGATCCTGGAAGCCACTGGAAGCTCTCCATTTTTCCCTTCGGCCGTCCCTTGGGTCCCAAGGTGCCAGATGCTGAGGCAACTTCTGAGAGGTGGGCGATATCACGAGTTTCTGACTTTTGGGGGTTTCCTGAAATAGGGGTTTCCCCAATAGCTGGTTGGTTTATAATAGAAAATCCGAAAATAAAATGGTAGTGATGGGTTTTAACCCACGAACAGGAATGATGATGACACCATTTTTTCGACGATGGAAATCGATGACTGCTCTGTTGGCCCATGGAACATATGGAACCTGCAAACCACACGCAGCCGAGTACTTCAAGGATCATACCACGAATCGTAGCTGGTTGGTGGTCAATACATGGGTATGGGTCAATACCTATAGATACATTTTTAGTGGGATGAACATCCATAAATCCCAGCTATTTTGGGGTTCACTAGGGGTACAGGGTTTTGACCCATCCCCACATCCCTCAAGAGATAGGAATTGAGTGGCGTCACACTGGGTTACCCTCCGGTACTGATGGCAATGGAACATCCATTCCTTGGGGCTCCTCAGGAGTGCCTCCAAGCCTACCTTCCAGCCGCAGGACAGACATGTGTTTGAACACGGGCTGCCCTAGAAGCGAATCTGATGTTTGATCATCATTTTCGCCAATCAAATGGGGGATCATCTTTGTTTCTTGCCACATTTATATACATTTATGGGTTTTGATGTGGGTATGGGTCTGTTTACAGTGTTATCCTTTGGTGTGGACACCACAATTTCGTTGGTTCTTATGGCGTCCCATGGTGACCCACTACCACTTATCATAGCAGATGGTTAGAACTTGTGTGTCAGTGCAATTTTCGAATTGAGTGGTTTGATCCTTGCCACATCACCAAGGCTTTACTGTTTCCGCCTGGGATCAAAGGGCATCAGCAGCCCTGCTACATCTTGAATGAGCTAACCAGACATAGCAAAATTAAATCTATCATTTAAATGCCCAGATCAAGATTAGTGGTACAGCCACCTTCCGCGGGCAGATTCAGTGTGGCAAATGATCTTCAACCTTTCCCAGTGCTGGGGGTAGTTTGCGTGAACAGAACACTTCCACTTTGCACTAGCATGAAACCTGTTGCCATGATGCGTGCCTTACTCCTGGCACTTGGAGTGGTGTGCGCCACTGGTGGGCCAACCATTGCTGCCGCGGCCCCGGTTCGGTGGTTGCCGACGCCAGAGGGTCCACAAAGGGCGGAACGAACATCCAAAGATCTCGGAATTCAAGGGAACAAGTACAGGAATTCCTCAGAAAGTTGGGTAGAAACCATGGGTTTCAGGTCTCTTTTTGGTAAAGGAAAACCAGCCCACCAGGAAGAAAACTGCACCTGAGGTGGTTGGCTCCGTCAATGTGGACATCACTATGCAGGCGCAGAAGATGGCTTTCCAAAATAGGTATGGCAATGGCTCAAAAGAATAATGACCATAACCATAGCCGCCATAGCCATACCTACTTTGGATCATCAGTTCTTTAGTTACACCAAGGTATTTTACCCATGATCAGAAGATGACTCTCCAAATTGGATGGATTGAAACAAGTTTTTGTACCATCCATTTGATCCAAAGAAGCCCAGTTAGTCCAGGTCTCGGCCCTGAGGTACAGCGCCTGCCTCATCAGCATGAGACTTTGATGGCCTCTGCGCCCAAGGTAGACCTAGCCCTGGGAGGTGCCTGTGCTGTCCAGGCCATGCCTGATTTAACCATCAAAAATGGATGAACATGGGGATTTAAGAGCTGAAAATGGGGGATTTCAGGATATTTCATGGGTAAATTTGACTCTTGTCATAGTCAATGTGTTGATTTTGCTGTGAACATGGCAAGAATCTAGCAGAAACCCATGGGATTTGACCAGACATTTAGAGGGCTTTTCCCTCTAAGATTCTCACCCAAGAAATGTCTTGACATTCTTGGCCAAGGAAAATCCATGGATTGTGCAGATTAAGGGAACATCTGCAGGACCTATGTCAGTTTCCGGTTTCAGTTTTCCCTTAAACCAATCATCATCTCAAGTTAGCCCATTCAAATCCCATTCAAATCCCATGAATATCCAATGAATTCCTATAGAAAATCGATTCCCATCATCCCCTGAAGCGCCAGGCAAAGGTGCCAACCAGGCCGTAGCCGCCGCCCGTCTGGGTGCAGCGGTGCGTTTTGTGGGACGCCTCGGACGCGACGCGCATGGCGACTGGTGACATGGCCATGGATTTTCACAGCGAACGAAACTTCTGTTTTTTTGGGTTTTTTTCATTGTCGTTGCATTTTTTCGGTTTTTGGAAGCATGATTATTTTGGAAGCATGATTAAAGGCGGAAGTTGCAAAGATAGGACACCTAGAGGAGAGCTTGGTTGTTGTGATTCATGGATGGCAGAGGGATCCCACTGATGGATCGAAAGGTGGTTGGAGTGTCGGGCTATCTATCTGTCTATCTATCTATCTGTCTGTCTATCTATCTATCTATCTAGCTATCTATCTGTCTATTTATCTATCTATCTATCTATCTATCTACTATCTATCTATCTATCTATCTATCTATCTAATCCTATCTAATCCTATCTAATCCTATCTAATCCTATCTAATCCTATCTAATCCTATCTAATCCTATCTAATCCTATCTAATCCTATCTAATCCTATCTAATCCTATCTAATCCTATCTAATCCTATCTAATCCTATCTAATCCTATCTAATCCTATCTAATCCTATCTAATCCTATCTAATCCTATCTAATCCTATCTAATCCTATCTAATCCTATCTAATCCTATCTAATCCTATCTAATCTAATCCTATCTAATCCTATCTAATCCTATCTAATCCTATCTAATCCTATCTAATCCTATCTAATCCTATCTAATCCTATCTAATCCTATCTAATCCTATCTAATCCTATCTATCTATCTATCTATCTATCTAAGTGCAAGCTTGAACACGAAGCTATTCTGCGAGAGATCCTTGAAAGTTGGAAGTTGAAAGCTGAAAAACGAAGCTTTTCTGCGAGACTTCCTTAATTTTAGAACTGCACAACATGAAAACGAAGCGATTCTGCAAGACATCCTTCAAAAATGGAAAGTTGAGTGCTGAGCTGACAGCCTCGTGCCAACGCGATTTGCGATTTTCCATCCCATCTCTGTAAAGTACTGCCCCTGCCACGAAAAGTTAGGCCAGGTCATACGAAGTGCTGCGCCTGACACACAAAATCATCTTAGGAAACCTGAAGATCTGATGGTCCAAAATGCAGCACTTCTCAGGAAATCTGCTCCCTGACTTCCCAACATGTCTGATGGAGATGTCCCTTGTACTGCTCGTGCCGCGCGAAATTTATGTTTATAGATCCTCTTCAAACGTCCCATGCCTGCCATCGTTTTGGAAACTGCTGCAAAACCCACACGTTTGGCTCACACAAAACGACGCTTGAACGTCCAAGTTGTCAGAACATGTGGTGCTTTTACCATTTTGACTTCGAAATGTGCTTCGCGCCACAGCGGCGTGAACTTTTTGAGCACCTGACTTCGACTGAACTTCCAAAAGTGGTCCGAGAATCTTGTGTTCCCACATTTTTATTTCCAAATGTGCTTCGCGCCCCAACATGCTCTTTTTGGACATTCCCACTGCCAAAATTGCTCCGGACCTGACGTGGTTTTAGCTTTTTGACTTCCAAATCTGCTTCGCGCCACAACGGCATGCAATTTTTCATCTCTAATCTGACCAGACGGCTCCGCACCCGCTTCAGTGTTTTGCGACTTTGACATCTTTTCGCGCACCTGTATCTTTTCTCTGCTCACTCTTTGTTTTTTGACTCTTTCTCTTCCCTGACTCTTCTCACCTCTGCTCTTCCATCTGTCAATATTGTCGGAAGTTTGACTTCTAAACTTCCTTTGTCTATTGTACGTATATCTGTATGTATGTATATCTGTATATCCCCATGTTTCTTGATGATTGCTGGTTTTATCTCCGTTTTAGGGGATTATATCCATGGTTCACTTATAACCCAGGTATACGGAGCCAAGTTACCTATGAATTACCGTATTTGGTCCATAAGTCCAAGCAATTTTGATGTGAACAGCCAAAGGGTACCAGGGTTTTAACCCACGGCTCTCTGGAAGAATGGGACATTTTCAAGAATGCCAAGGATTCTGGCTTCTGACATAGTTTTTCATTTTTTCCTGTTTTTTTAGGGTTTGAAAATCGAAGGCACAGCATATCCAGCTGGGGCATCGTCGCTGCCAAGGCTGAAGAAGATCTTGAAATCCAATGGTGTGGATATCGCTGGCTGCAGCCATTCTCAAGAGTTGCCTTCAGGGTGTCTTGGATGTAGTCATAGACCATGGATGGGTTCTGGTCGACTGAATCCAAATGGGCATGGGTCAAACTAGATGGCCCTCAAATTGGATGGTTAATCCTAAAAACGAATAGAATTTGAAGTTTATTGGGCCTTAAATATTGAGCTATACCCAGAAGTTGCCGTTCATGAAACCAATTTGTTCTTGTCTTGTTTTGAAGTTATTTGGAGGTTGAACGTAGAGTTGTCAGTTGTGACAGTGCCGTGATACATCCAATACTGTGTGGGTAGGTACGTCAAATACCTCTAGAGATGCAAAAAGATGCAAGATGATGTTTCAGAATCTACCATACACAACCATGGGATATTGTGTAATTGTTGTATTTGCAAGTTTTACCCTCAGGGAATTTAACAGTTGGCCATGAAAAATGTCCCATGACAGTAGACGATTTACCTATTATTGTGGATCGCACACACTGGTGATGCCATAAGGGTTCCCTATCTGCGCCGGTTAACTGTTGTTGCTGTTGCTGTTGTTAATGTTTTGATCATGATGGTGATGATGATGGTGGGCTGGGAACAGGATTTTTGAAGCATGTTGGTGCCTTATCTTAAAGCATCTAGTTTCTTTTTTAAACCTATGTAAAAAACATGCTTTTGCCACAAGGAAAATCCCCTTAAAGGGAGCAACATTAGGGGCATCAATTCGAGACCAAGATTTATTACAATTCAATTCCCGTACTGGCCCATACATGGATAGCAGAGGTGCGAGTTGTACAAGCAAAAACTACCATCGTAGCGCAAGGCCTGACCGTGCCATGGCTTCGAATGCTGAAACTGATTTGAGGAGATGGAAGGCTAAGAGGCAAAGATGTGCTGCAAAAGTTCGGAAAGTGCAACGGATGCTGAAGAATGCGAAGACAGCAGGGCTGACCGGGGTACATTGGCACTTAATTGGAAGCGCGAGAAACCATGACGTTCAGGTTTGTTGTGTTGTATTGAAAATTGCAAAGGACAACCTTGACGACGCATTGCTAGAGGACAACAGAGGAGACGAAGGTGCCAAAACGAAGCCGGCAGCTGCGATCAACCACATAGGCTGCAAAATCCTGAAGATCCCAAGACCTGCTATTTTGGCGACTTTACGGTCATGACCCAAGAGAGTCTGAATGGAGGAACAAGACTTTCTGTGGAGACGCTCTTCACTACGTTAGGGCTTAACCTCAGTTCTTCTGACAAGAAGAACCTGGACTTTGCCAAAGCTTTCAACGTGTTGGGAGTTGCCTTTGACCTAAATATCAATCCAGATGATTCCTTCATGATCCGCAACACCGAATCCAGAGTGAGTGACTTGGTCTCTCGGATTTCTGAGGTTTTGGAAAAGGGGAAGCTCAATGCCAAGGACGCCACGGGGCTCAGAAGTAGATTAAACTTCGCTTGCGCCCAGCTTTATGGAAGAACAGCCGCCTCTGTCCTGAAAGACTTCGGGAAATATGAGACCTCAAAGTTCCCGAGGAAGCTTGAGCACAACACCCGCATCTTGTTGGAGATCATGATCTCGCACCTGGAAAATGGAATGCCTCGGACAGTGCACTTTGATGACGCTGACCCGGTCCACATTTTTACCGATGGATCCCTTGAGGGGGATGGCGAATCGGGAAGGGCTGCGGGACTCGGGGCAGTCTTGGTCAACAGCGACGGTGAATGCCTGCAAGCCTTGTCCTTCACCCCGAACGAGGAGCAAGTAAAAGACCTTGGGAATGGGATCCACCAACTGGAAATCTTGCCTGTCACCATGGCTTGCATCGCATTTGAAGAACACGTATGCAGGCCGGCCTACTTCCACGTGGACAACACCGCAGCCCAGTCGGCCCTCATCAATGTAGGTTCGTCGAATCACTCTTCTCGATCCCTCGTCTATCTGTACTTGGACTTAGAGCAGAGGTTGCAGCTAAGGCCATGGATCTCAAGGATTGGATCGGTTTCGAACATTGCGGATGGACCGTCCCGAGGATGGTTTGGTGAGGTAGAGGGCCTCGGCGCGAAATGTTTTGAATTCCCAGAGAAGGTTTTGTTTTATGTTTTGGAAGACTTCAAGAAAAAGAGAGGCTCATTAGCAATGTCAAACGCTTGACGATGGGATGAAACACATTTGACATTGGATTCAACAAAGACAATCATTCGATAACCTGCTAACCTTTGAGTCCCCGTTAATTCAAAGCTGTTTTCTTCATTATGTGATTTGTGATTCCATCCATCTGATCAATTTCGATCAGTTCATTTCTGAAGGTATTCACTCTGACATCAACAACTATTGTCGGAAACCGGACCTTCCCCATGGTGATACAAAAGAAGAGAGATTGCTCGAGGGTTCAGTTGGAACTTGAGTATACATAATCTTAGACATGTCTATATGTTTATATCTAATTCACCGACATCAGAGTCTTCTTTGGGTACCAGAAGGGTTTCTTACTACACAACTGGGGGGTATCACCTGCAGGAAAACTGCTGCCTTTTTATGTACATAATCTTAGATGTGTCTATATCTTTATATCTAACTCACCGACATTAGAGTCTACTTGGGGTACCGAAGGCTTATATGCAAGAAATACCACAATGACATAATCTAGACCTATTTGTATGTACACAATTTTTGGAAATGGGGCATCGCTAATTCGTGAGGTTCCCGTCGACGACCGTGTGTTGTGTACCGAAATCTCGAACAGGTGGCTCCGTTTCTTCCCGCAACGGTCCTGAGCATCCTCTTCTGGGAGCTGGCCACCGTGACCTGGCATGTCGACCAGCGCAACGCGGTCGCCATGACCGAGGTACACGGTGGGGTCCAGCTCCCAGGAGGGCAGGCAGTGGGGGTGATCTTCACCTTGGTGGAGATCGCCCTTGTGAACGAGGACGAAGAGGAGAATGAAGTATTTGGGGTGCCAGACATCCCCCGGCCAAGTATGGCGCCTCACTTGGCCGGAGCGCCGTGAAGAAGCAGCTGCAGCAGGCAACCGTGAGGGGTGACGTCAGTGGTCGAGGGCCTTTGAAGCCCCTCGTAGTTCCCGCGCCGTTTGAAAGTAGGCGCGCAGTTCCCGGGACACAGAGCTGGGCTGGAGTACGGAAAAGGGTCCTTGCAGGGGAGGAGACAGAACCAGAGAGAGAGAGAGAGAGAGACAGAAAGACACAGAGAGACACAGAGAGACACAGAGAGACACAGAGAGAAAGAGAAAAAGAGAGAAAGATAGAGAGGCACAGAGAGGCACAGAGAGGCACAGCGAGGCACAGCGAGGCACACAGAGAGAGAGAGAGAGAGCACCGCGGCCCCGCGCCAGGCCTGGAAGCCGCCGCGTCAAGCGTCGGGGCCTTAGTACGGAGGAAGAGTATCGGCTGAAAGCCCTTGTGCACGCAAAGATGTGTGACCCAGTTCGACCGCATCTTTTTGGAACAAGACGATTAGATTATAAATGCACAGGTTAGAAATCTATCCCGTCATTTGGTTATATACATGTCCATGTAACCACATATATATATATATATATATGTGTGTGTGTGCAGATAGATAGATATCTATGCGGGCACCTCTGGAGAAGGAAAGGCGTCAGTTATTTTGTGCAGGCATCGTCCGAAAAGTTGCAGCTCTATTTTTGCAGGGTGCCTCAAGAAGCAGTTTGGAGCCGGTTGCAAAAGTTCTCCAGATGGAGCCCGTGACAGATGCAGTGGAAAAAAGACATCGCTAGCGCAGTCCTGCGGTCAAAGCATCGACCTGACAAGGAACGGTTTGAGCAGAAGCAAAGAAAAACCTGTCATTCGTGTCTGAGTTGGTTCAAGGCAGTGCTCGTGCCTCCACTATAGTACGCGGCCCCGCGGAAGGACATGGCAGGCAAAGGGTGGAAAGGTCAGTGGGGTGGCTATGCTGGGTGGGGTGAGGAGTGGCCGGCCGCCTCGTGGAAAGGCAAGAACACCGGCAAGAAAGGCAAAGGCGGCAAGAGCAAGGACTGGGAGGCTGGCGAAGCCGGTGGCGGTGAGGATGCCCAGCAGCCAGAGCACACCGGCCGGATCCTGTCGCGCTACCAGTTCCCCAAGGCGTGCTGAAGAACGCGGCCGACCCGCAAGGCTCCGCCTTCGTCAAGGGCCCCAAGAAGGTGGGCGACGTCAGTTTTGTGAGCCCAAAGCACCTGAAAGAAACCCTCCTCAGCGAGGCGGCCGGCTCTGTACAGGCCGGCGCCGACGTCTTGCAGAACGAAGCAACCGAGGTGGCCGAAGCACTTGGAAAACAGGAGGTCGCCAAGGCCCTGCAGGTCCTGAACACCCTGGACGCGTCGGTGGAGCACACCGATGAGGCAGTCGCGAAAGCAGTGGCAACGCTGCACGCCGAGCTCTGCGGCAAAGGTGCCGTAGAGGAGGCGTTGGTCAAGGTGACAGTGGCCGCCAGTCGGCTCTATCTCTTGGGGCATGAACCTGCTGCCCCTGCTGGTTTGCATGAAGCACCCGGCCTGGTGGACCGAGAAGCTCCCCGAGGGCGCATCGGACCACAAGAAGGTGCGCGCCTGGCGCGACGACCCCAAGAACAAGCAGAAGATGTTCCGCACCCTGGCCGCCATGGTGGGTGAGAAGATCGCAGCCGATGCGTATACGGCAAGAACGACGCCGCGGCTCTCTTCGGCAAGACGCCGGCCGCAACCGGAGAGGAGGACGAAAACTCGGACTCCGACAGCAAGGCCAAGAAAAGCAAGAAAGAGAAAGACAAGAAGAAGAAGCACAAGAAGAAGAGCAGCAGCGGCACGTCCGGGAGCTCCAGCAGGAGGGCAAGGGCAGGCAGGCGTGCTAGAGGCAGCCAGAAGGACGAGAAGAAGCGCTCCAGCAGCGAGTCCAAGAGCCAGAAGGCCAGCAAGAAAAAAGAGAAGAAGCGCTCCAGCAGCGAGCAAGTCGGAGCAACCCACCGCCGTGAAGGTTCGCCGGGTGTCGGGCATGACGCCAGACAACCGGGTCCTCGTCAAGGCTGACGACCGCTTCGACGAAGTACCGATCCAGTCATCTGAGTGGACGGTGCAGGACTTGATTGAAGAGCTCTTCAAGGCAAGCGGCCAAGAAGAAGACGCCAAGAATTGGACGGCCAAGGCCCTGGTGGACGGCAAGTGCGTGCCGCTGAGCACGGACTCCACGCCGGCGACCCTGCATCCGGAGATCGTCTTGATCTGCAAGGGCGGCTGAAAAGTGCCAGCGCTGGGTTGGTAGGCGGCCGGCCGGGACTGAGTGCAGGAATCAAGATGGAAAAAAGGCATTTTCACTTTTGACATCAGCAAAAAAATGAATTTTGAGAAGGAAAACATGGTGATCATGTTTGACACAATGTCCCAAAACTGTGCGAAATGAAAAAACAGAGCCAATTTTCAGAACGAAAATGGACAAAATGACAAGTTCATTTTTTCCGTTGTTTGTTTTGTTTCTCTTTTTTCTTCCTGCAAATCTGGTTTGAAACGATAGATGATTTTTTTCATTCTGGAAATCTGTTCCGGCGTGTTTTTTTTTTGCATTTGGCAGATCTGGAGATAGAAATCTGAAATCGTGTTTTCAATTTGGCGAATCTGTTTTCGTATGCTGTTTCAGCTCTGACAATCTGGTCACATGATGTCAAATGTGGAATTTCCATTTTTCAAATACCAAATTCAAACATCCACTCTTCAAAATGATAACCAAAACAAAAACCAAAACAAACAGAACAAAAAAAACAAAATGAACTTTCGGAATGAAACATGTCAAAAACGTGAAAGAAACGATTTTCGCATAAATCAGAACCGGGCTGCTGCGGGAACTTGCAATCATAGCTTTTGGTGGAGCCCCCGTGCTTGCGAGGTTTGGAGGTGTGAACATAGTTTTTTGGTTGCAATAGCGAAGAGTCGCGGCTGTGGAATTTGAGTGCTGGTGCCGTTGCAGGCGTCGCTGCGAGATGTCTATGGCAGTGTGGGGCGTTGGGGCCTGATGGAGATTACGTTTACGCAGTGTCAAAAAGGGAGAGTCTTTGGTTGCTGCCCAAAAATATTTTTTTGACTTGTTGCTATCGGGTTGTCTTTGGTTGCAGCTGGGGTCTATGCTGGCGAAATCCCTCGGGTTCGGCACCCACTTAGCACTTGCTTTGATCCGCCCAGGCAGGGGATGGTCATGCTGGATGCAGAGGGTGGGGCCTCGTCAGTGGTGGTTGGCGGAGCCAACATGGCAACTGGGATGCATCGGTTCCGCCATCGTTCACGATGATTGGATGGTTTTGACCATGAACATGCGGTTTAGAGCAACAAGAACCAACCATAAACAGGGATTTAAACATTGAACCCAATAAAAGGTTTGACCAACAAACCACTCCCCCGTTTACCCATTAAGTTTCCAGACCACAAAACAAGGCCCTAAATGGATCGAATTCATTGGGTTCACCACATTACAACGTTTATCGGTCAAGTTGCTGGGGGTCCACGCAGTAAGGACCTGAAATCATCCATTTCTTGGGAAATTTGGGTGGACGCGATGCTCTCGGGTCTAAAGAAATGACATTTCTCTGTTGGTGAATTACTAGTTAATTGGCAGGTCCCATGAATTACGATCTCCATACTCGGTCTGTTGTTTTACAACAGGAACCGCTGGTTTTTCCCCCGTACTGTATATGAATGAGGCCTGGGTGACTTCTTTGGTATTTTGGTCCCAGTTCCAAGCATTCTGCAGCATTTGCAATGTTTCCACCAGACTGAAATTTGAGGATTGGGCCTCCTTTTCCGCGCCCACATTGGAAGAGACGTTGAGAGGTGCCGTGGTTCTGTCATTCCCATCTTGATGGTCGGTAGCTGCAGCTTCATTTTGTCGTTTTGGAGTATCTTTGGGATATATGGAGCAGATAACACTTTTCTGTGATTCTTCGTTTTTCAGGAACACGTGCGACCTGAAATTGTCTAATTTTGTTCCATGTTGTCCACGCATTTCCAAATATTTTTTACAACAATTTATATAACTTTTGATATCAAAATCATTTTTGGATATGATATTGGATGATTTTAAATATCCACAACATCCCCCCCAAAAAATCATTGGACCTCCAAAAATCCTCCGTTCTTACCGAGGTGCCTCGGTGCTGTTGCTGCAGCAGGAGATCCCCGAAAAAATCAACGTGGCGGCTGCCGAGGTGGAAGTCCTTTTCTTCTACCCTCTGGTTATGTCAAAATAGTGAGTTTTCCCATTAAAAATGGTGATTTTCCATAGTTACGTTAGTTTACCAGAGGGTAAAGCCATGAAAAACCTGTTGGGATTCAAGGGAAACCTGGGATTTTTTTGCATCAAAGATGTGAGATCGAGATGATGAAACCAACAAGTAATTGGAATTTTAGCAATGAAACCTGGAGACTTTATCCACATGGTGAGACAAGTTGTTGACACTCCGTGGATGAGTTGTTGACATTTTAGCTGATGGGATTCTTCAAGATGATTGGAATTATGACAATTCCTTCGATTGAATGCGGCAGTATGAACGGGGTGGATTCTGTTTGATGGTCCAGATTTTTGGGTCAGCATAGATAGAAATGGCCATCGAAAATCACAGTGCGGAACACCTCAGTTCAGTTTGAGTACCCCAACTTGACTCAGCATGTGCAATTTTGGGAAGAGGTGGGATGCCTTAAGTGTTACGGCTGAGTCGTGAGGTCGCGAAAGCTCAGGGAGTGACTGTTATCCAAGACGTGGGGGGAGAGGACCTGGGCCTGGGATTCATGGAACCTGCCCCAAATCACCATTTTATGGGTGGTATGGTTACCATTCCCAGTCATGGGGGGTTTATGGCATTGGTTCAGCCACATTTTAATATTTCTGGATAGTACTGGTCCTCAAGGCTGCTAGTGAAACTCATCCCAGGCTGCTTGTTTTCCTGTTTCTGACGGAGGACTGCCGTCTGGTAAAGAAACAGAGGTATGCTTATCACCGAGTTGGGTTGGTCCATCACCAATGTATGGTTGATCATGGTGAATGGTGGTAAGTCAATGATGGTATTAAGCATACATTGGATACTATTCATGGATCCCATTATGAATAATCCCCATGTATGATTAGCCAATGTATTTGATTAATGAAATGGTTACTCATGGTTCATTATCCATTAATAAATTATTAACGATCATGTAATGTAACCATATTATTAACCACTAGAACGACCATGAACCATTCTTTGGTTAACCACTATGTAACCATATTATTAACCACTATTAACCATATTATTAACCATATTATTAACCACTATTGGTTAAGCACTATGATCAACCATTGGACCATGATGCCCCGCCCCGTTTGGCCCCGTTTTGGGATCCCCTGAGGACCGGCCGATTTCGGCCCAGCTCCTGCCGTTGATCGACTTTCTTTGCCCCAACGAGAACGAGCTGCAACGGCTCACTGGGATGCCTGTGGCCACCAGGCCACAGGTATCAATTTTTGGGGGTTCACTAATGGTTTGTGGTTCATGGTGGATAATGGTGGTTCATGGTGGTTCATGGTGGTTAATAGTGGTTAATGGTGGTGAATGGTGGTGAATAGTGGCTGACAATGGCAAACAATCGGGATCATAATGAACCATTAATCATTCTCCCATTCTGAAGCAATTGTCATCCATCAATTGGGGTTAACCCTGGAACAACCATAGACCCTGAGGGAGGAGGCGCTTCTGGCAGCCAAGTCGCTGGTGTCGAAGGGCGTTTCAGCGGTGCTAGTGACACTGGGGGAGCGCGGTGCTATGGTGGTGACCAAGGCATTTTTCACGGGCAAACCTGGGAAAAATGGAGGATGGATGGTGGTTTCTGCCAGAATCGCACTAGTTGCTGGGATTTGGAGATGACATACATTTTCTTGTGAACATTTGCGGTGTATCATCATTCAAATCTTATTTTGCAGCATTAGGAGGGTTCCTCACAAAGATAGGAAAACCAGCATTAAATCATCTAAAACATCACGATGAATATCTAAAATTCTGGGGGTACCACTTAAACTCCTCCCATGTTTCATGGTTTACCTGGGGATTTTTCCGTCAATCCCCCATGTTTCGTGCCTTCCCGTAGGCAGAGACCCTGGAGGTGGCTCCCTTTGCCGTGCCTTCGGTAGTGGATGGCACTGCAGCGGGGGATGCCTTCCGTGCAGCGCTGGCGGTGGCCATCGGCGAGAAGCAGGTCGTGCCGGGTCCGCGGTGCCTTTAAGGATTGAATGAGGACAGTTTGATCGATTTGTTTGGGATCAATTGAGAATCACAATTGATTATCCTATAATGTTAGTAAAGCAATCGTAAACCACCGGTACTTTGATGATTTGATGGTTTATACCACGCATGAAAATGGTAAACTCAGGGATGGTTTACTGTTGCTTTACTAACATTAAATGGAGGTCTTAGTGGGAAAATCATACATAAATGGGGGAGAAGTGCGAAACACTGAACTATACGGGTTTCTAGGTGTCAACTATGACAGCGGAATAGTTCTTGTTTGAATGAAGGATGAAACATGATGAATGGAATGAACTGAAGGCAAAGTTTCAGCACGCTGCCATCACTCAATAGTTTTCATCTTCTGAGCATTGACCATAATTTTGCATTGTCTTGAGCCCCCTGCACACCAGTCAGATTCCCACAATATACAACATGATATTTTTGGGAGAGCTTTGACTTGTGGTGCCAAGTGGGGATCAAGGGCCCAATCCCAAAACTGTCGCGAACGATGCACTTACAGATGATTTTCCGCTCAATTGTTTGGGTTTTCCAGCCGGCCATGTTTGATTGCTAGGGGGGTAGGGTGTTTATGGTCCATCCAGTCCGAAGTGACCCGCAGTCGCTGCAAAATGGTTTGCGCTTGGCGAGTGCTGCGGGTGCCCTTGCGGTGTCACGCAAAGGCTCAGCCGCCCCGCAATGCTTCTCTTCCAGTAAAAGTGAGATGGACATTTGGCTTTTTCCCCTAGAATTGGTTTCAGTGAAAACTTGGGCACCGAATCATACTTCATTTTCAAAAACTGTAGGATATCATCCCTTTCCAACGGCATTTTTCCATGTTTCCAACCAGAACTCCAGTGATTTCCGTTACGGATCAGGCGCTGAGCCCAGCTTGCCACATCGGAAGGACTGCGAGGCACTCCTCGGTGGCAGCAGCGTGGAGCAGGTCTTGGCCGCCCAAACGGTGCAGTCGCTGCAGGGCAGCTGCGAAAAAAGCTGGGCCTTTGCTTCGCAGTTGAATTCCATGAAGGAAAGGCAGGGTGACCGGTGACCGGTGAGGACCGGTGAGGATCGGTGAGGACCGGTGAGGACCGGTGATGGAACTGGATCTGATTTCAGATGGGAAAAAAGATGAACAAAGTCGTGATTTCAGCTGGAACCGGTTTTGGAATCCCAGGATTCAGTGGATTCTCCCCAGGCTGGATTTGTGGAATGGTTCTACTGATACCCTGGGCCTGATCGAACGTCAGGGCCAAGTGAAAGGTGGGGCTGCGAAAAGGGCATCGGGGTTCATGGCTATTTTAGATTTGCCGCAGTTTAGTTCTGAAGCATGAACTCACTGTTCCAAGTGCAGGCATTCAGCATTTCACCACTCGCAAAGCTGTGTGTTGCTCCCGAGCTTCCACTTCTAAAATCCTCTGACGATATGTGCCTCTGATGAGCGCCATGATTTCCTACCAAAGAATCACGCATATTCAGTATTACAGTATTTCTTTACACCATTTCTGATTGCCAGCTTGGTATGTTGGTGATGCAATTAGGCTTTGTAAAATCTATGCCTGTTTGTCCAAGAGTTTTTGGCTGTCCCATCAAAGTTAGTGAATTCTCTGGTTTTTAGTCCTTTGATGTAGTAAGTCAATTTTTCTAGCTTCAGATATTTTTGGTGTCATCCTCCAGCACATAGCTGACATAGCATCACCGAGCAGCGCTCCGCTGTCGCTGTAGGTCTTGGGTTGGTCTACCTGAACTTTCCACAGCACCTCGAAGGACTACAGCCGCAGGAAATGCTCAAAGCCTTGGACAAAGCGGGCTTGAAGGTGCCGGGTGGTACTTGGCCCTTTGCACTGGAAATGGAACCACACGAGTGACCTTGTGAAATTTTTTGATCAATCAAGATATATACACACCGACTTCATTGATAATTTGAAGATCACATTTTTCACATCCCTTGCTGCCCAGTGGTTTTCCCTCCCTGGCGTTGTCCTGGTGGCTGGTGAGGCCGGCGGCATTGCCCTGCGCTTCCCCGAGCACATGCGTCTGGGAGCGTTGACGAACCCATCCAGGGAGCTGCGGCAAGAAGCAGAGCCTCCGATGCGTTGGGCAGGGCTGGGCTGGAACCCTGAGACTTTCAGATGTTGGGAGTTTGCCTAAAAAATGGGCAAAACTGCAACACATTTCTTTTTGATTCATGGAGAAGCTTGAAAAACATGGGAAAAACTGGATTGCAGCGATCTGGATCAGATATTCAAATGGGTCAGGAAGGGACTGCTATTCATCTGGACACCCCTATAATAGCAGCAGAACCTTTTATATATTAAATATGTCATAATATGTCTAAATCCAAGGAGAATTTTCTGCAACCCCTAGAGATTTCGCGATTCCCCAGACTACATTGCCAGCCTCAGGTGGAACTGACGAAGAGTGCCTGTCGTTGGGCAGAGTCCTTGGGTACTGAGGAAGTGGTGGTTGCTTGGCGATGGGAGCTGAAACACTCATGGGAACATATTGGAGAGTCGCCGTGTTCGCAGGATCCATCACTTCAACAATTGTTACAGTTTGTTGCACTCCGAGTCTTGTTTGTTTGAGGTGTGGCCTCAAACAGATGGATATGACTATCAGCTGCAAGTGGACTACCTCTCTGCTTGGTCGCGAGCAGTTGAAGCATTTCGAAGCCTGTCTTAATCATTCAAAATAGCATTTATTTCATTATATCCCATTATATCTCCAGAATTTCTCATTTGTTGGTTATTTGTCCAATATTTGTCCCCATTACATCCGTATTATTTTTCGGTGACTCTAAACTAACTAGTCTGGCTTGAAATCCCACCACCTGTCCTCGTCAGTGGCAACGCAAGTCCTTGGGTGATTTGTGGTCAGCAATAGCACCCTTTAACATATTTGAATATATATATATAATTATATATATACAGTATAGAATGCTTGATGCCTGGTTTTCATGTCAAAGTTGGATGGTTCATGATGGTTTCATGACCTTGTGCCGCTTGCTGCGCTGTGCTGGTGCCCGAACTGGCCTCAGGGGAGGTGCTGGATAGCTCCGCCTGTCGCCAGAAGAAGGTGTCCCTGGAGTTCAAACCAACGGACAGGGGATGCCATGGGGGCCCAGGGAGTCCCAAAGGAGTCCCAATGGCCGCTGCCAAGGTGGCTGTGTCTACTATTCAATGACCACACATTGAGAAAAAGCTGGGGACTGTGACGCATTGGTTAAATTGCTGATAGTTCAAGCTGTGATCTCTATGTAGACAGTTCAAATACTTGATTTTCCGGTCATGCTTGTGTTGAATCATGTAAGAGCAAAGAACAATCAACCCACATAGTCACGGCACACTGACTTCTTGGCCTCGTTTTGTGAAGCAACCAAAGTTGGCACAACCAAAGTACATCCCCCGATCCATCCATCCCAAAATTCAACGAGCCCTCCATCCATCCCAAAATTGAACGAGCCCTAAAAATTCAGGCAATTTTGAGTTTTGTGGTAGACAACAATTCAAGATCATGAAAACACATGAAACACCATTAACAACCACTAAAAGCCAGACATTTTCCCTCAACCTATGGTCCATCCACTTTTTAGCGGGGCATCCTACGGTTCGACAAAGGGACGTTGAAAAACGTCCCGGTCAGGACGAGATTAGCCGCTTCGCCCTGGTACCCAGCACAGGGGCAGCGCTGCTCTTTCTGCGGGATGTGGATCGCGAGAACTTTGGGCCACGCGGCCACGTGTGTTGCAATGGAAATGGGTAAAGGCTACAGAATTGATGTATACACATAGTATGACCAACAGGACAATTAGTAGTACTTGGATATGTATATATATATGATATACAAATATCTATAAATAGTGTATTAAACAATGACAAACAGCCTATAAAATAGTTATATATCAGTCATATTTGTACGATAACAGGACAGAACTATGGCACTGTACAGTGGGTTGATCTTCAACTGATTTGTCCGACCATAGAGATGCCGCCCAAATGGTGCATCAATTTGGAATCTTTTGGGGGGTACTCTAAATACTATCTTTGTGCCTATCTATGGCTGAGCAGCCTAGGGACCCCTGAGGGAAACTCTCAAAACACTCTGCACATCTTCAATCCATGGTTGGTTGGGAATCCATTCAAACCCATCATCACAGGTACCCTGCAGTAATCAAGGATGGCAATGTAACATCGTCTATCTGTGTATATATAATGTACACACCACTTATATATATATAATACATACCCACATACATACACATGTGTATGTATATACACATCCATGTATAGATGATTCTCCGATCAAAGATTCTGATCTCCTAGCCAGCCACGTTTTTTTGCCAGCGTTTTTTCTTTTCCACGGTCCGACCGGGTCACCAGGTTAACGTTGGATGTGGGGCATTTGCTGATGGCGGGCGAAAACCCAGCCCAATCTGTTGCCATGGCAGGTTGGATCATCATTTGGGGACCGAAAATGATCCAAATGTCAACCAATCAGTCAACCCTTGGCTGAAATGGCTGAGGCATCTGGAACATAACCGTGACATAACCGTGACATAACCGTAACATAACCCCCTGTGGTCCTGTCAATCGCCTGGATAGTTTTAAGTCTTGTAGTGGCAGGTGCGGCTGGAAAATTGTTCGGCATTCACTTGCAACTCGACTCCAGATGCAGTGGCCTGGGTTTGTTCCAACAAATTGGGCCCTCCAATGTCTCTAAACCGAGCACTTCCTGATGTGATTTTCAAGGAGCGGAGCACATGGTAACTTCATAGCTAATTGATACTGAAGAAGTCTCCCTTCTTAAAGTTATTTATCTTCTTCTTGTTTCCGCTGGATGTGTGCAGTTTGACAGCACTTCTCACAACCATTTCCCATCATTTTCCGCGATGTCGCAGCATTTTTCATCATTTTCTGCCATGATGTAACATCATCTACCCTCTGGTAAACTAACATAACTATGGAAAAACACTATTTTTAATGGGAAAATCCACTATAAATGATCATTTTCAATAGCTATGTTAGTTTACCAGAGGGTAACATAATCTACCACCACTGTGGGTCATCGCATCCTCCAAGATCCCAAGGAACGATGGTCATCCGCGGCTGGGTGCGGAGGACGGCTTGGCCTTCGCCTCCGTCCATCGGGTGGCAGCCTTGGAGGTGGTGCTGTGGCTGCGACGGGTGAACTACACGGGCAGCATCTACTTCGACACCTTCCCGAAGAACGAGGACCGGGGGACCGGCTGAGTGATCCATGCTGGAAACCATGGGGAATGCACCAAAATTGGGTTTTTTTGATCAATGAATCCAGCAAGATTGGGGAAAAAAAAGGTGTTTTCCGAATTGTTGTTTCTTGATTTTCTATTTTTTGAAGGCCCCTTCAGCAAATCCAAGAGGATCCCGTGCGCGAGGCAGAGTTGAATGTGCGACGTTTTGAAGAACTTTGGGAGCAAACTGGGAAGATGGATGAGGAAATAAAGACGATGCAGGAACAACATGATGCCATGGGAGTACTGGAGTTCTTGGATTCACTGGCTTGAGCTGATGATACTTTGGATCTGGTATATCTGGAAGACACTGGAAAATCATTCCAACCGCGGAGTGGCCGTCTGAAAAGATCCCTTCCACGACGGGTAGAGCTGCAAAGATCTACCTGGTGGCCGACGTAGATGGCGCGGCAATGCACCTTGGACCTTTGTTTTACGTGGTGAATCTGTGCGATGACGTCCGTGTCCTGACGAGCTTCAATCTTCGCCACATTTCGTGTAGATGAAGAGCCGTGCCCGACTGCTTTCAAAAGGATGCTTTTCATTGGAGATGTGTATCCCTGCCGCAATGGTTTGGAGGGTTACGGCTTCAGAGGGTTGAAACTTAAGACTTAAGACACACAACACACATGCCACCTTACGTTTATTTCGAATTCTATTTTTGCATGAATCTTTGATAAATTGGCATATAAAGCGGACATTTTGCAGTTCCGATAGCTGTCATTTTTGCTATGATGAAAGTTTGCTGGAGGGGTTTGAGTGTGACCTACCCCATCTTTGGAAAGCATGGCCCATTGGCAGTGGGGACATCAAAGAGGATGCAACGGTGGTGTTGCTTCCCTTGTTGGTAGTGGGGTCCTCCATCTGAGACGGCTAGGAGCGACCCACTCTTCCAAGTTGGGAGCTCAAGGGTGTCCCGAGGGACACCGCGCTGAATAGAACGATGCATTAAATGTGAAGACCTAGTGCCGAAGATACATCAGGTCTGACATCACAAGGTCTGGGTATGATTCCTGGGCCATGGCACATTGCGGAGGGTTGGGACACATCTCTCTCAAGTTGTGTGTGTTTGCTGTTCAGGCCGCATAAAGGTGGTCGGGACCACAGCGAAAATTGCTGGGAGATCATCACAACGCAGGGCTACCAACGATCACAAGATATCTGTGAGCCTGTTTGGATATGTTTGGATTATCAGCCATGAGTGAAATCTGTACTTTTGTCCATCCAAACTTCTGACAACTCATGAATGCAGAATGACAAATAAATCTTGTGGTACATCCTAGAGGGCACTTAAGATCCCGATCTTTTGAGCATCCAGCACTGTGAGCACGGCCGCAAGCCGTGAATGTTGCTTCCACAGTGTCGCGATCTATTCCATCTGGTAGTTGGTCAGGAAATCGTCCTGCCCGAAACCAGCCTTGGAGGTTTCCATGAAGATTTGGTGGTTGCCCAATTTTGGGATGGTATCCCAAGACATCCCAAAACCATTGGCTTTCGGAAAAACGCCTCATGTGTTTTTCGATCAGGAACCGGTGCGCAAGGTGACCCAGGTGGCAGCCAGGCCTCGGGGGTTCCGCGGGCCATCCCGTGGTATCCACGTTGGTCGATGTGGCTGGCAGGAAGGCGGTGGCAAAGCCTGCACCGAAGATGGGTGGGGCACCCGGATAAAAAAAAGTTTTTGACATCGGGGATTGATATAGATATAAAATTATATCATTACTATAGTGATATAACTTAGAAACTTCCACTGAAAAACATCCTAGGGCCTTGATTCCTCCATATTTTTGATGTTTTTTTTTTGGGCTGTTCACCATGTCAAATCACCCATGGCTCCAACTTTAAGGGCCTTCCAAGGTGCTCGGCGAGGGGCCTCACCACGAAGGGAGGCCGAGCTGGGTTGAGTTGAGTTACCATCCAACTGGCACCCTGAAAAGCGGCTGTCCCAAAAAGAACACTAGTCTTCCAACTCCCTTTTTTTTTGCAGGGTCTATGTTTCTATCTTAGTTGGAAGGAGTCCAAGAGATACTTAGGACTTTAGGAGTTTCCTTTCGGTTGAAACATATCATCACCAGCCAAGTAACTAGAAGTTGCCACTGTACCACCGGACTCATACCTTGGAAGGTCTCTGCCAGGGCTGGGGCCCTCAGCTAACTACCGAATGATTGGCCCGGTTGAGCCTCTTCAAATTCATCGTTTGAAGACCGGAATAGGTTTGGAATTATATTGTATATAAATAATATCCTATTTATATCACATCATTAATGTGTATATAACCAATGCGTTCATATAATGTGTATATTATATACAATATGAAGTGGGGCAAGTCTTTTTTTTGACCTTGGATCACTTTTTTTTAACCTTACCTCTTTTTTTCGACCTTGGATCACTTTTTTTTGACCTTGGATCACTTTTTTTGGACCTTGACCTACTCTTTCTTAACCTTGGCATGTTCCTTTTAACCTTGGCCTACTTTCCCATACTTGTTTGGAACCGTGCCCAATGTGAGGTGTGGAGTTTGCAGTGTGAAGTGTAGAGTTTGCAGTCTAAAGGCTGTGGAATGTAGCGTTTGCAGTGTCATGCGTGGCATGTGTATTTGGGAGCACCAGGCACCAGGTGTGTAGTGTGTGTTTTGTAGAGAGTACGAAGTCTATAGAATCTGGGGTGTTAAATGTGCGCGGCATGCACCACCACCATTGACACCACGCATTCTGCAAAACCCTGCTTACTTAATTCCACAAAAGGCATTCGGTACCTTTGCAAATAGAAATACATACGAATATACATGTATACATGTAATAAACAATATAAACATATACATATTTGCATACATACATACAGACATTACCTTACATTACATTACATTGCATTGCATTGCATTACATTACATACATACATACATTACATACATTACATTACATTGCATTACATGACATTACATTACATGACATGACAGGACATTACATTGCATGACATGACATGACATGACATTACATTACATACATAATTAAATACATTACATACATTAGATACATTACATACATCACATACGTTACATACATTACATGCCTGCAGGCATGCATGCAGACACGCATACGTTACATTACATTACATTACATCACATGACATGACATTACATTACATACATAAATACACATATACAAATATACATGACAGGTTAGACAGGATTGAAAAGATAAGATAGATAGGATAGAAAGTATAGACAAGATAGAAACAATAGAAAGGACAAATACCAAAGGTAGGATAGATAGGGTAGATAGGATACATAGGATAGAACATATAAATAAATATAAATAAGATATATAGGGTAGATAGGATAGGTAGGATAGATCGGAAAGATAGGATAGAAAAGGGTAAAATGGGAAAGGATAATTAGCACAGGATAGGTTAGGAAAGGGTAGAAAGAAAGATAGGAAATAAAGGATAAATAGCACAGACAGGATAGATAGGATCAACAGGAAAGACAGGATAGATGGGGTAGATGGGATAGTAAGGATATATGGAGTAAAACGAAAGATAGGAACGAACGAATATATAAGATAAATCGGATATATCAGATAGACAGGAAAGATAGGATAAACCGGATAGTTAGGATAGAAAGGGATAGATAGGATAGAAAGGATAGGTAGGATAGAAAGGATAGATAGGATAGACAGGACAGATAAGATAGATAGAAGGGGAGATAGATGGATAGAAAGATAGATAGACAGAAAGAAAGATAGATAGATAGGTAGATGGTATAGGATAGGATAGGATAGGATAGGACGGGATAGATAGGATAGAAAGGAAAGATAGGATAGATAGGATAGAAAGGATCAGCAGATAGAGAGATAGATAGATAGATAGATAGATAGATAGACAGATACAAAGATAGATATGGCGAAATAGATAGTATAGACAGATAGATAGATAGATAGGACACATAGGATAGATAGGATAGATAGGATAGATAGGATAGATAGGATAGATAGGATAGATAGGATAGATAGGAGAGATAGGAA